AGGCAGCGCCTGGCAGCTGCCGCTTATGTCTCCTACCAGGCCGGTGTGTCAAAAGGGCGTCAAAGCATCCCTCCAGTGATCGGAGCTGGACCCTGCTCAGACACCCAGAGGGCCAGGACAGTGGATTGCACACAGACCAGTCAGGACAGCAAAATGGAAAGAATGGCGCATAGGAGAATTGGGGAGCTAGGGATACCCATACAGGTACACATGCCAGAGGAGCATGTCCTGTTGGCCAGTTCCAGCATTAAGCCACAGCTGAAACTGCACCAGTACCACACAGGGAAACTAGGCTTAAGTGATCCACAAGGTGTTTCTTTCACATCAGGACAGCCGTAGAGATCTATGTTTAAGCCTTCTGAGCTGCTGCAAAAGCTTGTGAAGGGAGTTTTCCCCTAGGAGTGTCAAGCACCTGGAAGAGCACACAGCTCTGAGCACCTAACAGAGCATTCCCCACCACCCCAGCACTACTTGCACTTGCTCAGCCAGGCACTGATCTTCAGCGAGGCTAATGACATTCTATGCATCTGCTGCTGCAGCTTCAGGTAGCATTACACCTTCTCCTACAACACCACATTTGACATGGAAGGCTGTGGCAAAAAGCCTTGGTTAACAGTCAGTTGACAGCCAAATCTGCCTGGTGATTCTCCCCACCCTTTCCACAGATGCATAGCAGAAGGGGTCAAAATAAGCATTACAGCACACAAGACCTCCACCAGGCCCCACGTGTTCAGGAGTTTCTTTTCCCTGAACACAAGGCCACAAAGGAGGAAGAGATCTAAGGTGACACGGAAATTACTTCATCACGTCAGGTATACACAGAATGTTTCAGTTATGCCTTTCATTTCATATTCCCATAGGCTGGTGCTACTTACATTGCCAGCTGCCATACAGCTGATTTGGTAGCAGTATTTGAGAAGAGCTAACCAGATATTCTAGTGGGGAGTTGAGCAGCCTCAATTTGTCTTGATATAAGCAAACATTCTTCTAGTTTTATCCAGGTTTCTTGTAGTCACCCAACAGCCAGCTGCACAGGCCACCTTGCGCTTCTGAAGGCCCATTACATGCACGTAAGCATAAAACTAGGGAGACAATAAGTTGTTGTAGACAGATGGAGAGACAGTGGTACATTACCTGAGCACTGATACCCTCCCTTTTCCCACCCGCTGTTCCACACCTTTAACTACCCAATCCACTTGTATTACAAAGGCAGCAATCTTTATTTTTCCAACACGTTAAAATTCTTACACTTAAAATACCCCCAAAACGGAGGTTTTTTAAAAGTTTAGGAGTTCAAAATGTAAGTTCTGATAAACAGAAGAGGGCAAATGACAAATCACAAGCAAGACGATGTTAAGATTATCAGGCAGAAAATATACCTCCCCCCTTCCCTTGGCCTCTAATCCTTGATTCCTTGTAATAACTGTGGTCTCCTGGACCCCTCAGCGCTGTGACCTAGAATCCAGGCACCACAGTGATTGTGCAAGCCAGAGGAGAAGTCCTGAAAAATGTTCATTGGAACAAGTTGCAGCTCATGTATATGGGGGTGGCTCATCAAGACTCATCCAACCCTCAATTAGGTGACACTGCTTTGCACATAAACGTAGCTTCCTGTAACAACAGGGCTCTTCTCATTGTCACATTGGGGAGGGAATGGAAACATGGAAATCAGGCCCTGCATAACCTCACTCGGTGGGTGGCAGTTTCATGAGATGGGGTGAGCAGTTCTCACAGCCCTCTACCCCTTCCCAAACATGCACTACCACTGTTCAATTCATAGTGGCTATGGGCTCAGCAGACTGCTCCAAAACTAAAATTAACCCACCTACTAACAGTGGAAAAAATGTAGTTGGGGAAACCATTTTCTACACATGTAAACTGCACCAGAAATAAGGAGGCAGCCACACAACTGGAGGGAAACCAAGCCCTCCTCTCAACAGCAGTAAGCCATTATATTATCTCAAGTTGCTCATGATACATTTAGGCTGCAAATTATTAAACTTGTTTGAGGCTCCCCATATCAAACATGTAAGTGTAGCCAACTCTTCAAATCTTATAGCACCAGTCTTTATTTGCCTTAGTGCTATGGGGAAATGCATTTTACCTTGAGAGGGATTTAACAGATGGAAAACAGCTCAAAGAGCAAGTGATCCAACCTAGAAATTTAAGGCATTAATGATACATTCATCTTGACTCCTAACAAGCTGCACAGCACATTTCTGGGAGTAAGCATAAGCTGGCATGTTTTATATTCGGAAAGAACAAGGAGTAATGCCACACTGCAGTCAGAGCCTCTGAAACAAAAACATGACAAGAAGCAAAGCTGGGTAGAAAAGGAGGTATCTCCTCTGCCTCCTTACCCATTCCCACTGAGCCAAATGTCACAACCTCCATGCAGTCAAGAGTTTCTGCACATCTCCACTCCCCAGCTACACTCCCAAAGTGTCATCAAGGAGTGCCACTGTAGTACTATAGACCTTGGTCTTTCTGACAATAGCCCACAACTTGCAACTGCAAGCAACAGTTACTCAACTACTAAGGTGTATTTAGACTCTGCTTCTCTAAGTACTCTTGTTAGTGGCCTCCACAGGAGTGTAAGGAAGAGGAAGGTAGCAATTTATTGCAAGGTGAAACCACAAAAGAAGGAAACAAAATAGAGAAGCCCTGTCACACTACAACTGTGAACTTGAAATGTCAGATGGGATAGAGATTACAGTCAGGGGGTTCAAATCAGTTGTTTTTACAGTAACTAACCAAAGGCAAGTTACAATACTTGCCATTTCACAGGTATCCCAGTTAAACTGGCTGAAAAAGAAGGGGGGGGGAATTAAGGTACAGGAGAATGATTTTTCTACTAGATGGGCAGGAAACCAAAATCACTGAAAAAAAAATAAAAATCACTGCCAGCCTTTTAAAATAAGACCACAGAAAATTTAAGTCTTGGGGAGTCACCCTAGTGGTGCCAATCACACCAGCTAAAGGATGGTTTCAAATTAGGGGCTTAAACCAGAGTTAGAAAACAAAAGGGGGAAACAGCCAACCACTCTCCCACATCCCTGCACTGGAGCTGCCTGACCCACAATGGACATGGGGAGGTAGCATTCCAGGCAGGCTTGACGTCCATAACGTCCACATGCCCACCCAGGCCATTCTGGTGAGCAGATGGTTTATGAATTCCAAAGGAAACATTCTCAGTCACTTTCAAACTTGACGGAATTGACTTCGGTCGATATAGTGCCCCCACGGTAGCTGCCTCGTTTTTTCTTTGTCTTCTCATGGCGAAAAGACTTGCCTTTAGTGAATTTGAGGATATTGTTAGCCTTCTCACCCCAGTCACCAGCTGCTCCTTTCTGTGAGGGTTGAATGGGGAGAGGAAAAAGAAATTCAGGTCAGTACCCAGAAGAGTCAAGGCAATGCTTTGCACTTCATCATATCCAGCACACCCCACTACATTAATACTGGAGCTGACACCGCTCTCCCATGCACCTCCTGCCAGTGCTCACACACTTATTAACAGCACCTCCTGGTGGAAAAAGTTCCCACAAAAAAAACTCCCCACGAGCACACCAATGCTGCTCTGATGGTATTTGCTGGGATCAGGCATTACCACACTGGGCACTACCTAGCCCTACCTTTGCTTCAAATGAGTTATCAGCAACACGGGCATCCACCTCAATTTCTTCTTCCCTTACGCGGCGGAATGGAGACGCTGGCTGTTGAAGAGAAAGAAAACGAAGCAGAGTAGAGCATATGCACACAATATTCCCTTGGTGACACCCTCCTTGCCCTGCAAATATGGAGTCCTGCTCATGGCACCTCTATCTTTGTTTCTCATGTTTATAATTCTTTTCCTTGTTCAGATCAGGTGGCTCAGGGATGCTCCTGTGCAAGCACATCCAACCAACCTTTGCCAGCATAATATGCACACACGTGCACTCCGAGTGCTTGAAAAGGAAGCAAAACTACAAATAAACCTGTGGGCCTACCCACTTCCCCCCACCCCCGAAAGCCCCAACACGCCTACTAGTTCAGGAGGCAAAGATGCCTCTGCCTGCAGTCACCACAGTCCATGCTCACTCACCCGCTTCACCTTGGGAACTGTGTGTGGTGTTTTAGCTTTGATCTTTGCCTTTTTACTGTGTGGTGTCTCTGGCTCCTGAACATCTTCCCTCTTTTGTTTCTTCCCGATTGTGCCTGTTAGATGTACAGTAGCAAAACTTCAAAGGGAGTAACTGCAGTATTGGTAAAGATAATAGCATCTCTCCCCCAGAATGCAAACCCAGTGTTGACACAAGTGTGAGTGAGAATCAGTCCCTGCATTATCTCGCCCAGAAAACAGACTGATATAACAGACACTAATAGCCATTCTGGGTCAGCAAGGATTTTGCCATCCTATCCTAATGGATAAACATAATTTTGTGGAATAGGGTACCTCTATATTTAAGATTTAGTGCCCTTGAAGTTCTGTTTGTTAAAATTTGCTAGGTTTTGAAGCATTACAGTATGCAGTTGTACAAGTCACTAGCACATTCAAAGTTGTTTTACTCCTGGAGGAAAAAAGATTGAGACTGTGCACCGGGGTATCATCCATGGTGTCCCACTCAACACAGAAAATGTCCTCCAGCACTCTGCCTTGCTGTCACTAACAGTCTTTGCATCCACAGATGGCAACTGACAACTGTACAGAAGTGTACCTCACTTCACCATAAATTCTGTTGCCAGCAGATATGCAATAGAGACAAAAAGGATCACACCAAATGAAAAACAAGCCCTTCCTTCTCAGTACTGCACGAGATGGCATAATCTAATAGCACAGAGAGTAGACTCAACATTGTTTAGGAAAAGCTTCTGTTCATGCTTAGCTCAGTAACATTGCCTGATAGACCCATTTCCCAGACTGTAGGTAATACCTCCATTGACTTTTCTAGTCTCTTCTTCAGAGCTGCTTTCACTGCTGCTACTGCTGCCACCAGCTGGCTTAGACTTCACATTGTTTGCTGCTGGCGTGGATGCTTTTGCCTTCTCTGTGGATGCAGCGGTCTTAGAATTGCTCTGGGTCCCTTTTGCTGCCTTTTTGGGCTTCTCATCCTCTTCACTGGAACTATCGGATGAGCTGCTACTACTAGAAGCAGCTGCCTTCTTCCCCACACTTGCTTTTGCTGTCCCTGTAGGTTTCACGGCTGGTTTCACTGCTGGCTTCTTTTCTTCTTCACTGCTTGAGCTATCAGAGTCAGAACTGTCTGCTTTGGAAGCTGGGGTAGAAGGTTTGGACACTGGCTTACCCACTTTGCCAGCTAATTTAGCTTGAGTGGTTTTCTTCTTCTTTGCATCACCAGAGCTGCTGGAGCTGCTATCTGAATCAGAGCTACTTTGTGTTTTCTTTGTGGCAGCTTGTGACTTATTTGTTGCAGGCATTGCTGCTTTAGTTGTGGGCTTCACAGGGGCTTTCTTGTCAGAGCTATCAGAATCTAGAATGGAAAGAAAAATAACAGTCACGGCTAAGCCCCACTCCTTCGGCATGAAGCTAACATGAAGATTCAATGTTGATAAACAGTGCCCTTCATTAGCTGCTTGAAACAACACCGTCATAGGTATTCCTGTCCAACTGCACTCTCATATGCTGTCTACACGGAGGTCTGACCAAGCACAACATGTATGTGGAAATTCTTTTCTCCTACCCCAATACCTGAGCTGTCTGAGGATGAACTGGAATCTTTCTTCGCTTGTCCAGGCTTGACAGCTACTTTTGCTGGTTTTGAAGTATTCTTCACCACAGGTTGTTTAGCTGGGAGCTTATTCCCTACCTTCTTCTTGTCATCCTCAGAGCTAGAATCTAAACACAAACACAAAAAAGGGTGTTCTTTAAGTTAATGAACTTCTGGTGCAAGTATAGAGCTCACGGGAAGTGAAAATCAAAATGAGTTGTGGTCCAAGGGCTGAGCCAGTAGGTAACTCGCAGTAAGCAGCATTTGATGAACATTCAAATGGTCAGGGGACTGCATTCATCCTTCCAGGTATCTTCTTTGTTGGGAGGCAGTGGAAACATGCAGTTCAAAGTTTTTCAATAATGCATGCATAAGGAAGCAGGTATTTGGAGAATAATGTTGAAGAGGTACGGAAGAAGGGACTGGAGAAAATACAGGTATTACCAGGAACAAAGTCAAGAAGAAATCAAGAAAAGAATCTATGTGGTAAAGATCAAAGAACTGAAGCAGGGAAACTGATGCAGCAACAGTGCAGTATTTAGCTTTAGCTTTCTATTTCCTGTTTCAGATGTGTTTAGCAGCAGTCTGAGGATGGACTGGAGACTCCTGCATACAAATATGCCTTTGTATTGTGTGTCACAGCAATCTGGAATGCTAAGTCTGATCTATTCCAACATTTATGAACTCTAACAACGGTAATCACAAGTTCGTATGTTTTTGAAAAACTAGGCAACAAACCCAGAAAACACGTAACTGCTGCCACTTGTTGAAGCACTAGAATATGTGAAGACAATACATTCTAGTGCTAGCTTTCTGCAGACAGACAGGCTGCTGCCACCTACAGTCCCTGCTGTGGCACCAGCAACACTGAGATACACAACAGGAGCACCCTGAACTTGGAGGGGAGACGTAGCACACAGGGAATTTACATAGGAAATACAGCACTGCAAACCTTAAGCCTGATGAACAGAAGATACTGTCGTGGTTTAAGCCCAGCCGGCAACTTGGAACCACGCAGCTGCTCGCTCACTCCCTCCCCCCTTCCTTCCTCCCCCCGCTCCCGGAGGGATGGGGAGGAGAATCAGAGGAATGTAACTCCCACGGGTTGAGATAACAGCACTCCAGTAACTAAGGTGTAATACAAACCACTACTGCTACCAATAATAATGATAAGAGGAATAACAAGGGAAAAGGACACAACCGCTCACCACCCGCCGACCGATACCCAGCCCGACCCGAGCAGCGATCTGGGCCTTCCGGGTAACTCCCCCCAGTTCCTATACTGGGCATGACGTGCTGTGGTATGGAATACCCCTTTGGCCAGTTTGGGTCAGGTGTCCTGCCTCTGCTTCCTCCTGGCTTCCCCTCCTCTCTGGCAAAGCATGAGACTGAGAAAGTCCTTGGTCAGAGTAAACATTACTGAGCAACAACTAAAAACATCGGTGTTATCAGCGTTGTTCCCAGACTGAAAGTCAAAAACACAGCACTGCACCAGCTACCAAGAAGGAGAAAAAATGACTGCTGTAGCTGAACCCAGGACAGATACAAAGCACATTGTCCCCATTTCTGGAGTCACATTAGGAGAAGGCATCTTTTGAGTGTATTTTGAACTTGGTATGGCAATGACTTTTTATTTCAGAAACTTCTCAACACAATGGGACAACAGAAACCAAAAATCTTAAAGACACAGATCCTCAAAAAATATAACCATTAACCCACCTGGAGAAACCTGATACACAATGCCCCACCCTTTCAATCTAGCAATATACAGACCTTCCTGCACTTGCCAATGGTCTCACAATGGTGTCTCATGGTCAGGCTCCACTCTGCATAGCACACTGCTGTTTTCCAATTTCACGTCTTGTTAGATATGGAGACTGTGAAGCTTTTGAGCTCCTGCACGAAGGATCTTAGTAGGTACGCCACTATACAGTAACCTGGCCAATAAACCATTAACACAAAACCCCCAAAACTGTATCTTGAATTACCTGAGTCACTGTCAGAACTGGATTCAGCCTTCTTGGTAGTCACAGCCTTTTTTTGGGAGGCAGGGGTTGTTTTAGCTGCTACTGCTTTGACTGCAAAAGCAAGTTCAAAATCAAAAGGCCATATCCACACTAAACCTTTGCCCCAAGATCCAAACTTTTCCAGATGTGAGAAAGCTCCATTCTCAGTGCAGCAGTCATTCAGCCAGCACATTGGAAGCCAAGCAAGGACCTGTCCAGCCACAGTAACAGGCCTGGCTTATTCCCACTAAACTAGATCCTAATGACTTTTCAAACCAATGTGTGCAAAGTAATTCAAACCAATCCGCACACAGCTTGGATCCACAGTTTGTACTGTGTTGTTTGGGATGCCTTCAAATTATTCAGAAGCTTCCAAAGAAGCAAATAGCAACATATACTAAAGTCAAATGGCTTTTTCAAGGAAACCAAGACATTGCCAATGCATTGTCTGCACCATATAGAACTTCCTCTGCAGACTCCTCTCAACATACCTGCTCCTCCCTTTGAGGGCACCTCCTCTGCCTCATCACTACTGTCTGAAGAGTCACTGCTCTCAGCCTTTTTTGCAGGAGCCTTGGCAAGGCCTTTCTTGGTCTGTGTAGCTTGAGGAGGTGGCACAGCACTGTATGGACCTATGAAGACAGACACAGCAATCAGATGCCTGCATGATAATGCGAGTAGCAGGAGATATTTGTTGTAGCTAGAATAAAGCACTTCTGCTATTTGGTTCCATTTATTCTACTTCTGTAGGATGAATCAAAGATGCTAGCATGTAATTTGAAAGGTTACACTCACCTTACTACTATCTCCTGTCTCTACTGTGAATTTAACTCTCCTTTTGGGGTTCACTGACCCAACCATCTCTGCAGAAGTTTTCTCTGCACTTTTAGAATAGGAGCTTGTGTTGCCAAAACTTTTCAGAAACCCCGACAAATAGAGATGTCAGCTGTTGTTTGTTTTCCTTTACTGTCTTCTCAAATCCTCTAGTTAAGAGGATCAGATTGAGTTTTAATGCTTGATCCTCCACATAAGTCAGCTCTCTACCAGGATCCTAAAATCATTATGTTGAACAGAGGCCCATTTAACCCATCAGTTGGATTGCAACTGAACAGCCCTAGACACTTCACAAAAAAAAAAAACAAACCCAAACCCTAAAAATGCTTAAATTGCTGCAGTTGCAGAATAACCAAACCATTGGCAAACTACTTCCTAAATCCTGGCAGACAGGAAACCTGCAAGAACGTACTTAAAGGCTACCTGCACAGAAGACACGCAAACTAAGCAGCATCTGTCACAATCTCTTACACCCCATCTGTTGCTGAGGGAGTAGCTGAATTGTAAGCTCAGCCCCAACAGCACACATGAAGAGAGCTGCTGTATTTCTGGTTCATGGTACCACCACCAGCACCACCTGGAACCTTGTGTGCAGCAAGACTTGCCTGTGCCCTGCACATGCTTCTCCTAGGACAGTGGGACTAGCAGAAAGCATCCTCCTCCCATGTAGCAGCAACAGTATTTAGTAATTACCAGACTTTGGCTTTTGTTTTGCGGGTGGCTTTTCATCGTCTGAACTGTCAGATGAGTCCTCGCTACTGGAACTCTCTTTGGCACGTTTGTTTTTTCCTGGACATGGTTGAGTGGCTGCAGGTTTTGGCAGAGGTGATTTCTTCGGAACAGCCTCATCACAAGAAAGAAATAAATTCACATTAAAAAAGAAATTGCAGGAGTCTTGTGGGAAGAGCTGACAGGGATCTTGTTTAACTCTACATCTCATGTAAGCAAGCAAATTTTGAAGACAAAATGAGAAAGATTAATGAAAATTCTCAAATGTAAATTTTAGGAAATGTACAAGCATCATCTGTCTGGCCACTCTGCTGCTGCTTTCTGCTGCATGCATCCCTAAGGAGGAGCTCCTCTGATCAAGGGGCACAGAACTAGCTGAATGATAGCAACTGCCACCTGATTAAACATAACTCCGATTATTTTTGTGTTGCAGAAATCATTTTTAAACTCTCTAGTGGAAAACTCAAAATTACAGATAGCTAAGCACAAAAGACATGCAATAGTACATATAATAAAAACTACAATATGGTTATGACAGAATGATATTTCTCCTGTAAAAGGAAGGAGCAGAGGAAGTGGTAAGGAGGTATTAGGGAAGACAGCTAATGTACAAAGAGGTGATAGAACACAGTCCTGCTGTATAAAGGAGAAGGTACAAGAACCACAAACACTGTGCTCAGCATCTGTGTCATCTGTGCCTTTGCCTACACATTTTGCAGTCCTTGCAAGACAGATAAACCCAGTCTTACTAGATTTCTACAGTGTTCAAAAAGCTTTTCATGGGCTAATTTACCTTCTTTGGTGCAGTTTTTTCCTCATCAGAATCTTCACTACTACTGCTACTGCCTGCTGCTTTTCCATTGACCACCTTGGTGGCTGCCTGGGCAGCTTTAATTCCTTTTGAGATAAGCGAAAAGGGACATTAGAAAATACGCTGTGGTAGATGAGGGGTAATTATACTCAGCATAAAGTGTCACAGAGACAGAAGAATCACAGGAAGCCAAGAGGGCAGATTAAGGCAGTACTGCAAAACTTGGTTTACCCTAGTGCAAGCTTAGAGAAAGCAGTTAAGGTTACTGATTACAGCTACTTATGCAAACAATGCAGCATCTGGGACCAGATATTTTATTTGCAGTCAATTCTACTGCTCTTCCATGTCAGAAGCACACTGGACTGGAGTGCAAATGGCAATGTCAGCAGATTTTCAGACTGCTGTTAATACATATGCCTTTGCATGTAGCTACAGCCCACATCACTCCTACCCTGGCTTTTTTTGGTTTTACGCTTTGACTTATGACACACAATATGAGGTACCCGATTTAGGTGTTGCTGGTTTTGGTGGCTGTTTCTTTGGTGCTTCTTCATCTGAGCTGCTTGAGTCAGAGCTGGAACTCTCTGCTTTCTTCTGAGGCTGGATTTTGGTTCCAGCTGGCTTCATCACAGGTTTCACACCTTTCTAAACACCAAGAGGGAAAGATGATTAGCCCTTGTAGCCATGAAATAATGAAAAAGAGGCTAATAAATGGAACACATGTACAGATAATATAAAAGGCTGTCTTTGAAAGAGATTACCATTTTGACTTGAAAATGCCACTCTGCCTAACGGTTGGGGCCTAAAAATCCCAGGATAACTATTTTGCTCTGGGAAAGCTCGCAGCAGCCCATGGGAGACTTCCTTTGTACCTCAGTCTCCAGTTCTGCCTCCATAAACAGAGCAGCTCCGGGGCTGGCACTGTTCTCTTCCTTCTCCAGACCACACTAGTTTGAAGACTGAAAGTATTGACTGGGCAACTCTGGTTGGTCTCCTCCAAAGTACACTGATGTCATTCTTCCCACCCCCAAGCTTCTCAAGACCATGACTGCAGCAAGAAAAAGGAAAGAGATTTGCTTTTTATATATGCACCCATATGAAGAAAAAAACACTCTTTTTTAGTGACCATTAATAAATCTTTCTTGGG